AAAACAGCACTTCTGGCACAGAAATAACTAGTCTGGGCACCTCTGGCTTGAGCCAGATCTATGACTTTCTAGGGAGCTGGCACCAAAGTCAGAATGTTAAAATAAACAGCTTTGATGTTGAAAGTGGAATACTGGTATTCTGACTGTGGAGAGACTAATCCAAATCAATCTTAGCTCTTCACAAAGTTTCAACAGTTAGTAACGCCATCACAACTATATCAAAGTGAAGTTAGTCATCCTTCAATAGTCATTTCTAGATTACGTAGGGATGGAACTATCCTCCTCAAACGTAACTAATGTAAATCTTGCTTTCAATTTCTTTTTGACATAATTCTCTATTTACCAAAGAATCTTGTTTTCGGCCTTCTAATGAGCACAAAGTATCATCTCATCTGATTCATTAAACTCTTCCTTACAAGTGAAAATAATACTATTAGCCCACTTTGAGTTGTTCTCCTCCTGGAAATGACTTTGCACAAAACCACACAGCACACACATAGGTCCTGGCTGGTCAATATTTGGAACAGTGTCATGGGGCAAAATGTTTTCTCTGTGTAATATCTAAAGTTAAGAATCCTGACCTTGGCCTTCTAGAGTAGCACACTCCACGCCCAAGTGCAAATGTGTTCTTAAGCTTGTAGGAATATTTCTTCATATTCTCCACCAAATTTAAGCGACGCTCTGAAGAAAAGACTGCATTCAAACAAACTCTGTTCCATTACCAATATGACAATGAGTAGTTACACAAACACACTGAATATTCAAGGCAGCCCAAATAAAAGCCAGTGTTAGTCACAGTTTTCATTAGGCAAGTCTCATAACTGTTTTTAAAAAGTTTAACTAATGAAAAATTATGTTTTAAAATGCCAATTTCATGAAATCAGCCCACAGTCCACAAGAGTTAAACCCAAATCTCTCAAAGTGGCACCTGAAACAACAGCAAAGTATTTTTTTTACCCTGACAGCATATCATCACGGCAGGTAGATGACATCTACCTGCACAAAACAAACGGCATATGCATTCATGAACTGTTCCAAAGAGGGGAAAAGCAGGAAAGGGAGACTATGTCTAACTCATCTTTGGATCTACAGCATCTGATAATGATAATGATGACGATAATATTTACTATACGCCTACCATGTGCCAGGCACTGTTGTAAGAGCTTCACATACATTATCTTATTTAATCTTCATAACACCCAGTCTTGTGAGGTAAGGACTACTGTCATCTCATTTTACAGATGAGGAAATCCAAGTACAGAGTGGTGAAATAATTTACCCAAGATCACCCAGCTATGAAGCAGCAGAGAATCCAAACCCAGGCAGCCTTATCCAAAGCTCACGCTCTTACCACAAACCAGTATATCACAGGCAAGGGATATATATTTGTTGAAATAAACTTTAAAAGTATTTGATCAACAGCTTTTATAGTCACACATACTTAAAAAAATGCATACAAGATATGTTTACTCTTCGTACCCCAAATACATTCATCTAACCAAAGAAAGTATAATTAGGCACAGGCAACAGACTATAAGCAATTGAGAGTAGAAAATCTTTTTTTTTAAATCTCTTTAATACTTTATAGTGTCCTACCAAAAGAACAGAGCCAAAGAATCTCAGACTAAGGCTCCTCCAAAAACAGGAAATCAAAGAAGGTGGGACAAAGACAGCAGGGTGAGCTGATAACCAAAGTATGTCACAGATGAACATTCTCTCCTGTTAACTGCTCTGCAGTGCGCTCTGAGCACTGCAGTGCTGCCAACATTAAGCCTGAGCTCATGAATGCCGTGCTGCACAAGTCACCAACAACCAAATAGGAAAATATTTCCTTTCCTCCACTGATTTTATTCATCCCAGGGTCCTACACTAAGAGGTTTGAGAGTTAAAAGAATTTGGGAAATGGCCAGCTTCTCCACTTATTGTTGGATGGAGCGCAGTGGGTTAGTCCATAAATGAAGTTTACTTTAGCCTCTTAGTCCTTGGGATGGGTAGTGTGTGTTAAGAAAAGGCGATCATAAATATTTCTCCGATGTTCAGAAAGCACCTAATCTACTTCAGCTAACACAAATATCATCTGAGTTACTTGAGTCGGATTGTTATACACGGTTATAAGAACGACCCAGACCATTCAGTGGTCTACAGGGAGAAAAGAAGAAAAAAATCACAAACCCTAAAAGATGAAACAAAAAAAGATACATTCTGGAAAGAGAAGGAAAAAAAATAAGCTTTCTGGTTCCTAGTGACCTGACTGCAGAAGTAAGATAAATGCTGCAGTGCATGGGGAGAAAAATCTCTCTACCTGAGTACCGAAACAGCAGCTTCTTCAACTGCTAGTACCTGGGCACCTTCCTCACCATTATATAACCAAACCATGGCCTTAATAGGCCATCCTACTGTATGTCAACAGCTGTTAGGCACATCAAGCTGTCAGCATTCAAGAATCCCTTCCAAAGTGGATTCAGATAAGCATGGAGCAGGCCAAAATATGCTCATAGTTCACCCAGAGCACAAGACAACTCCTTGTGAATTAAGCTTCACTCATGTCGTCAGAGTAATTTAAGCAGCAAAAGATAGGGCACTTGTAACTGTAACTAGGAAATTGCACACTGCTACAGAAACACAAATGAGTGCTGGTGTGGTCCCGTCACACATGCAACTCATTGTCCAAGCCATTTCAGTCTCATTCAGGACTTTGAATAGTTCCATACATAGAAATTACATAACTGCACACCACAAATGATCAAAGATAAAAAGCAACGTAAATAGTGACACCAGTTTATAAACAAGCTATGTTTAAAATGCTGCAGTCCTAAAGGATACCACGGCCTTAGAGAAAAACTAAAAACACACACACTGGAAAATTAGAAAGCAGACAGACCAGCCATAATTAGCCACTGGCTTTGCTGACTACTGAAGATAGAAATGTCTCTTTTATATATAAAGCCAAGAATCAACTGTTTGCAATTACATTTACAGAAACATTCAACCCTGTCTGTCACAGATTTTTTATCAATATTTTGGTGTATCCAAGGCTAGAAGATAACAAAATTCTTTAAATCATAGATACCATAAAGGCAACCAATTAAGTTCAGGGAGTCCATCCCCCAGAGATCAGAGCAAAATAATCACAGGAGCGCAATGTGATTACTTAGAAGGGGGGGGGGGGTAAAAAAGGAAATACCAAAACAAGGAATAAAGCTTGAACAACTACAGTTGTTTGTAAACATAACTTTGGCTAGGCTAACAGTAAACAATTAGAAACACTCAAGGGGAAGGGTGGAGATTCCCCAGAGTCTTGGCTCAGTCGACTCAGCCCCAGGGTCCCAGGGTAACATCAGGGAACCCTGGACTTTGGTATCTCATTCAGCTCAGACCTGCAGACTTGAGGCCCACTGTGGAAACTGACAGAAAGGCTGAAGGGGGCCCCCCAGAGGAAGTGAAACTGACCAATCAATTTTCCACAGCCACTTACCCTGCCACTCTGGTAAGAAGGGCCCCTTGTTGTCTTTGACAGAAAGGAGGGAAAAGGGAACTTCAGGTTGTAAGTGGGCAGGAGAGAGGCCTAGATAAGTCCCTGGCTTCTGAAAACAAGCGACTGCCATAGAAGCAAAAACAAGAAAGGTGATGATAACCAGAGGCTAGGCTGAGGAGGTGAGGAGAACTGATGTGGCTTTGGTAGGAAGCACCAGCAGCAGCTATAAGGGTTCTTCATTAGGTTGAAAGAAACGCAAACTGCAGTTTTAAACACAATGAATGACTACACTTAAAGTATTCATTCAAGTGAGAGATTGTGCAAAGAAAGAAATTTGGAGTACAAATGGGCTTTGTGGGTCCTATCAAAACCAAACCATTCCTCCTGATGTCTTAGATTCCAATACTCCCCATGAAGAAGGCTCCTGGGAAGCGCTACCCATATTTCCTCAAAAAGTGAATTTGATATGTATACATATATGGCTTCCTAATTGACCTTGGCCAATTTCACTTCTACAGCTCCACAAATCCCTTGGGAACCCAAGGGCCCAACGCATGTGTATAATCCTCTGGTGTCTGGGTTCCTCATACACCTCTTCAGTTACCAGGCTTTCCCCTCACCACGGAGAGCCCACTCTGGGTTCTATAAAGCCCACAATTTCAGACCCTCCAGCAACCAAAAATAACCAGCAATCCAGCTCTCCCAAATTGTTTAACCCCTAATTACCCAGTGCCACCATAAACCTGGGGCCCCCCTGGGCCTCTGTTCCCTGAGCCCCTTCCTGCAGAAAAGCAAAATAATTTTCCTCCCTCATTTCCCCATTTTCTTCACCGCCTCCTCCAATAATCTTGTCTGTCCTCGGGCCCCCATTCCCACCATCTATCAGTCTTAGACGACCAAATGCTGATTGGTATCTGTCATAAGGCACCAGGTCCCTATATCTCGAAGTACCCCGTACCCACCACACACCGCAGGTACATGCCCCAGCCGTCCTTGTTCCCCTCATAACTCCCCCCACCCCCGCGCTACCAGTTTACCCTTGTCTTCCCCCATCCTCCTGGTCCACATTCCCTATGCCCCTGCCCTCATTCCCTCAGGATTTCCTAATCGCTCGTTCCAGAGTCTTCTTAGCTTCCAAGAAGACTCCTGGCTCCATGCGAGTTCCAAACCTCCTCTTTCCAACCATCTCTTCTACTACCCTCCGCACAGCCCCGGGCACCCCCTCCCCATCCCCGGCGCCTCAGTTCCCCAGGTCCCGGCGGTCAGCAGCCCCCCTGCGCCCCTCCGCCGTGGAGTTTCCCTCGCTCGGGTCCCCCGGTGTCCCTTCCTCCCGCTCGCCCTCTCCTCACTCCCCCGACAGCCCCTACCCGTCTCCCGGGTCCCCAGCGCTCTCCCATACCCCGAGCCCCGCTCGCCGCGCCGACCCTCCGCCTCGGGTCGCGGGTCTCTCCTGCCCCCGCCACACTCGGACGGACGGTCCCGGGCTGCGCAGCCCCGCGGCCACCCGGTGCCACCGCGCCACTACCTTGGCCTTGGTGACGAGGTGCGTGGCCCGCTTGACCACGGCGAAGTTGCCCTTGCCGATGGTGCGGTCGATCTCGTAGTAGCCGATGCGGGCAGGCACTGGCCCGCGGGAGGCCGGGGCTGGGGGACGCGGCGGGCCAGCCGCCGGGGGCCCAGC